CCCCCCCCCCATCGTAGATGTGTAGGGGAGGAACGGAAAAATCTCTAAACATACAGTTTAAGACGAGGTTTAATTTAAGTACAACAATGACAACTATTATCAAAATCAACCTAACACTGGGTGACACTGAAAAACTAGCGCATACAGTCATTACTTCTGGGCTAAACTATTATAGTTCAGTATTGTCACTTTGTGCGAAAGGTTCACTGAAAAGCCCTCGATCAATCTGAAATGAATGAGAATATTAACAGGGATAAGAAAGATCCTTTATTCATCATGGACTCTCATTTAGATTGACATATTGTTATGCTTTTTGTGTTTGTGTTTCCAGGTTGTCGCAGGTTCAATTTACCGTGTGGAATACACCATCCAGGAGACCACCTGCCCCCACAGCACAGAAGCAGTGACGGCTGAGAACTGCCCCCCTATGGACTGCGAGTTTGCTGTGAGTCAGGAGAAAGAATTATTAGTCTCACTCATGTAAAGTTGTAGTCAGACGGGTTGATGAAATCAGTGAGTGCAGTATGACTTTCCTGATCAGGGGGTCATTTTAGTTTTAATGCTGCAATCAAAGACCTCTGCTTCCCACTCAAAGCTCTGATCCAGTGTGTTCTAAGTTCTACTGACTAGTTTGTGACAGCAGAGGATTACTTTTTCATTCAGTATGTGTAATTGTTCCACCGTAGTAAAACCACAGGCATCCTCAATCCTCTGCTTTCTTAAGTTTTTTCTTCCTTTTCTCTTCTCAGCACAAGGGCTTCTGTAAGGCATCTCTCTTCCAGCCTCTTTTTGATGAGGAGCAAATTAATGTCGACTGTGAGCTCTATGTGCCTGAGGTAAGACTCATTAACATGTCATATCTGTATTGTTCAAATATCCTTCAGTCGCATAGGGAACAGTGTAAGTAATAAATGGTGATGGGGGACCTAAGAAGGTGCTTACTTTCCTTATGCCTTGGGCTGGCTCTGTTTTTTAAACTCTTTATTATAGTACACTCTGTATAAAATCTCCAGGCTGCTAAGAGACAGATGATGCTCCCCCTGCTGGGCGGAGAGACTGACCACAGCCACAACGACACACACTCACACAGCCACGACCACACCAAGAGCCACTCTCATCATGGCCACAACAGGAACCAAACTGATGACCACAATCACCACCACACACATGACCATGCCACAGGCAGTTCCCACAGGCACTGGGACCACTCCCACGACCACGGTATGAACCACGATCATGTGCACACTCATCATGCCAAGGCACACAACAAGCACGCTGTAAGTGTGCACATCCATGTGCCTGACCACGAGCTGGCTCTGGACCACGACCACAAGCACGGTCACCTACATGAACACGAGCACCACCACCATCACCACGAGCACGAACATGAGAACACACCCCACGATGATGCAAAGGGAACAGTGATAGTCCTGCCTGCCTTGGGCCAGCCTGTGACCTTGCCTTCCTTCCCTGATGTCCCCGCCGGTGGGCCTGGAGTTGGAGTCACTCTCCCACTTAAGCCTGACCCTCAGGTTCCCGGACAGATGGAGCCCGCCATCGAGCCCTTCCCAACCTCAGTCTCTGCCCTGTGCCCCACCAAAAAGGGAGGGGATCAAGGTGTGGGGATTCTCTTTGCTAATGACCCCATGTTCAAGCCGGCTGCATAATGTGGTGTATGAAACTGTAATAAACACAGTGTGCAAAACTCATTTAATTACTGAAATATATAAATAAATAAATAAATAAATAAATGTGTGTGTGTGTGTGTGTGTGTGTGTGTGTGTGTGTGTGTGTGTGTGTGTGTGAATGGACTGGTTCTTACACCGTATAGCGCTTCCTTATGCTACCTGAGGACTCAAAGTGCTTTATAGAACTTCATTCTTATTCGACCTCATTCACTCATTCATAGAGGCACTGTTTTCCATGCTTTTACTACATAAGTGCTTTCTAACATCGACACACATTTATATTTCAAAGGAAACATCAGAGAGCAATCTGGGACAATGGGCCCATATGGGTCACAAACGGCATGTTTGCTAGGAAGGTACACTTTAGTTGAAACAAGTGGCTTTATTGTCATTCCAACCATGTGCAGTGGTACAGTACACAGTGAAGGTGTGTGTGTATATGGGATTCTGCAGCTAGGTGCTTGGTACTTTAAAATTAGTTCGCTGCTAAGTTACATGTAATGTGTTAATGCTGACATCCCTTGGTTTAGGTAATGTTTTTCTCCTTGTATCGGTTAGTGTTAAGTGGCTTAAAAACTGAAAACATTCTGCTGAAAAGGTTAAAGTACAAAGGAAAACTGAAAAACAGAAAATTGTCCAGTAAGCCTGAGGAACTATTGCTGTAGATGAGTGGTTCTCAAACTTTTCACAGTGAGTACCACCTCATAAAATATATGGCTGTTGAAGTACCACCCTTATGATTAACATTAAAGTACAATAGTATAGGCCTATTTAACACCATATACAGTTTACATGAGACAATTTTATTTCTTATATGAAAATTATTTATTTTAACTGTCATAAAGAGGACGTGACAAGTGATAATAATAACAACTGTACTGCATTAAAACATTCACAGCAGGTGGGATATCTTTAAGTGATGACGTATGAACCCTACTACCGGCTCCAAACTACTCTGGGTTTATTAAGGCTGTTGTGTTTTTAACATATTTTAATGCTTTGTATTTTGTTCTATTTAATCTGAACAAGCGTTTATTTACAGTGGCAGCAAAATGACAATAAATCCCCGTGCACTTCCCTGTCTTCTTCTCAAAAGTCCATGCTCAGTGCTCTCCACTCCCGTGTGTCCCCACACCCCGTGCTTGCTGCCCTGCGGTGTTCCACGCTCCTCCTGAGGGGAAATAACAGAGGCAGCCATCAAGACACTTAATTCCAGTAGGCATACACTCACAGACGCTAGATGACTGACGTGGAGTCTCACACAACAATCCAGCGTCGAAGAGCGCTCAGCCAAACTGTTAAATAGCTCCCAGACAAGGCTTGATCAGGTGTGTGTGATTCTCCTCCGCAGGTGTGGCCTGGCTGACACACCCACCAGGCCTGAAGAACCGGTGCTCTGCCACATACACACACACACACACACACCTATACACAAACATAGAACAGCAGCACCAAAAATACACATGTCCGTAACATTTTTCATATTACTGTAGTTTAGTAGGATTATGACTCTTACTGAAGTAAAGCAGTACGACACTCACACAGTGCTGATGTTCATGTAATGCATCTGTTCTAGCACAGCAGGCTGCACACGAGCATGCAGAGTGTTTGCCAATGTGACAAAAACGATTAGGAAAAAAGTTATGAGTCAACCTCTAATTCACATTTCAGGAAACACTCCAACAGAAATATTTACAGAAGATAAAAGTATATCTAAAACTCTTTGATCGATTCCTGCAGCATAACTCAAACTTTTTTCTAAACTCAACTAATAGATAGATTTCTTCATTTTGAATAAAGAAATCAAATGAACAAAAAGCACAGCTAAAGAGCAGCTACACACTCCACTGTTGCTAGCCCATTAAGTTTTATATGATACTACCGACATGAGCTTTTTAGATTTGCCAGTTACAGTTACTATGAGGAAGTATGAACTGGCACAAATAAAATAAAAAGAAGAATCAGCAGCAGAGAAGTGGCTTACACTGATGGAGTGCTTTGCAAATGGCCCTCACTTTCTTTTAAGCTTCGATGAGATGAGCTGAGCTGAGAAGAGTTCTGCTAATCGAAAGCTCACAGGCATTCCTGTTCATCAAGACTGCGTGACTTCATTTCTTAAAGAATTTTTTTTAAAGTAATATTCAAGAACTGAAATGAGGTGTGCAGTGAGCTTTTTAATTGATTTGCCCTGTTCCCCAGTGCACTGTGACCGCTCAGTTTGTCTGAGCCAGTCATTGGCCTGCAGAGCAGCCGATAGCAGCTGTTTGTTCATCCTTTCAGGAAGAGGAGAAAGTCCAGCATCAGTCTCACATGTGTCTCTCACAACTCTTTGTGTAAAAACTGGGATTACTTATTAGGTCCTGCAAAAGAAGATTTCCAGGTCAATGCATGTTTCAGTTTCATTATTAAATGATCTGCCAGCATAGGATTTAGTAATTCAAGTAGGTGGGATTTTTTTTTTATTAGGACCAGTCTGTATGTGTGTTAGATGAGGATGAGTGTGTACCTGCTGGTCGTATGTTTGGCTTTGCTGCCCCAGGGAGGGGAGGCCTCGGACCCTCCAGGCTGCATGAGCCCTGATGCAGTGCGAGTGGCAGAAGAGGCGTTGGAACAGATCAACCAGGACAGGAAAATTGGATACATCTGGAGCCTCAACAGGCTCTATGATCTGTCTCACACTCCAGAACAGGTCAGGGTGAATTATGCATATGCATGCACAAAGACATGATCATGCAACAAAGGCATGCTGCAACATATTGACCAGCAGCCATATTGTTTTTATGTTAGAAAAGTCACAAAAGGAAGAAAGAAAATAGAGTTGCTTATTTATGAATGTGTCCAGGGGAAAGATGGATCTCTGTACAAACTAACCATCGATGTCATGGAGACCAAATGCCACATCACCAGTGGAAAACCATGGAAACAATGTGAAGTCAGAAATATTGGGAATGTACCAGTAAGTACCAAGCAATGCACATGTCACAGAACACGTTATAATCTGAGATGATGTTTGAAAGTGAATATGTCAAAGATAAAAGCCTGAAATGTTTACTGGTCTATATTACCATGTCTGATATTTGAATGTATGCAAACTTTGGGCCACACATTTTTCATGCAAATTGTGGAGGCAGAGGAAAAAATATCTTTAAAAATATGATTTGTGATTGGATTGACCCAGGTCTTCAAAATGAAAAATGTGCACACATAACTACATTATAACTAGCATCTTGAAACTCCAGCATTTTTGACACTATTTGGACAGGACAATCAGGACAACAATGATATTTTTGTGATATAAGTTGTTATAATCCGGCATCAAAATTAAAGGAAATTTTCATTTTCTTTATTTTTGTAACCAAGAATGTAATGTTAAAAAGTATTCTACATGCTTTATTTTACAGTGTTAGAGTCACCTCAGCACAACTATTGGCGCTGTACAAATAAACTGATCTGAAAAACTTGAATTCAAAATGAGAGTTTGAATGGTGGATTTTTTACCGGCCAATACTTTGACATTTTTTGACATATCTGTCCCAAGTTATGGATCCTGATTCATTTCACAATACCAGACTGACAAAAAATATTTAGGTCTTTTTTAAGTAAAGCTGTATAAAATTATCAGAAAATTTGACTTAAAATACCAGAAGTTGCAGCGACAACCTTTTCAGAGTTTTAATACAGTGAGTCTTCTGTTGTCTTTGTTTTACAAAGCACTGCATTGTAATGCATACATTCATATGTTCTGCATGTATGAGCTTAGTAAAGTATACATAGATAGTTTTTTTTATGAATGTATGAAATTTCTTAGCTGCTGTGGTTCACCTCTTACACGTACATGTGTCTTTAGCTACTGTATAAATGTGTTTGTGTATTTCAGGTGTATGGAGAGTGTCAAGTATCTGCCTATGTTCACACTCAAGTCAAACTACAAAGCTACTCCTGTACAATTCGTGAAGGTAGATCAAAGCATCACTGAGACTCTTCTGTATTTTTGTCAACTTCACTGTATAAAACAGAAAATTATTTACAGCGTCTTAGCCACAGAAAGCAATCACACTCTGTTTTGTTCACACAACAGTTCCAACACTGTTACATTTCTATCACCTACATCTGTCTTTTTATCTAAAGCCCTCCGTCATGTAGGAACAACTCTGCATTTCTTTTCCAACAAATTAGCAAGACGGTGAGAAGATTCTCTGATCAAAAAACCTCAAAAACTTTAGACGAGAGAGGAGATTTGAAAGAGGAAGAGTTTTCAGAATATGAGTTTGTTGTCTTTGGTGAACAGGACAGTGCAGACATTAGAGAGTGAAGTGGGGGCAGACTGAAGAATAATGACACACAGGAAATGGTATGGGGGCAGAGTCAGACCCAGACCCGTGCAGTGAGGACTCTATCCTACAGTACTAACCAGGTGCTACAGCAGCACCTGAGCCAGCTCGATATAAACCTGTCAGGAACTAGCAAAGCTAAAAATACTGATGCACAAACATGATAAAAGGGGTGATAGTTACACTCGCAGTAGCACAGGAACAGAGCAGGAGAGGGAGAGAAAGAGAGCCAGGGTTGTTGCAAGAGACAACATCGTCACATTAGAAAGGTATAGTAATGAAAATGAGTGACACCAAGAAAAGAAGCAAAATCTGGAACCATTTCAATTTTATTGACAATACAAAGGCAGAGTGTAGAGTCTGCAAGAGAAGGATATCATATAGAGCCGGCTCCACAAACAACCTGCGCAGGCGGCTGAGAACTGTCCACCCATCAGTGCAATGGAAGGAACTGGGTGTGAGTGGAGCCCTCCAGTGGTTCACCACAAGACAGAACTCAATTGATAAAGACCTGGCAAAAATGACTGCACTTGATTTTCAACCATTTCCAGTTGTGGATGTTAAAGGATTCAGAAAGTATATTCATGCACTGAATCCTGTGTATGCAATTCCAACCAGGAAAACCCTCTCCCAAAAAATCATCCCAGGCCTATATGACAGAGAATGTGCATTTTCGTTTGTTTTGCATATTCATTTATATGTTATTGTGTTGTTGTTTGCAGTGTTTTGTGTTGTTTCACTTTAAATTTGTTTAAAGGGGAAAACTTGAAAATTTAAATAGTTAAAAGTAGAATTTTACATAATTGGTTTTTGTATTTAAGAATTTATTTTTTAAATTTTATGTTGAGTGAATAAATAAAATAAAAGCATATTTATATAATAAATATATATAAATAAAAAACTTTTTTACATTAGCAATTCATTTTGTGCATAATTTTATATTGTTGTTGATAATAAATTTATTAAAGCAACAAAACAACCTGAAAAGCCGGGTGGGAGCCGAAAGGGCCGGCTCTCTACAAAGAGCCGGAATTCCCATCACTAGTAAACCAGAACGGGCAGATGCATTTCTGAGGGCTGAACTATAGACCCACAAGAATCTCATCAATTTCAAGTTCCAAGAAATAAACATCAGTAGTGATAATAAAGTTTGCTTTAAAAAAATAAAAAATAAAAAACTCGACCCGTGTCTTGAATTATCAAGACAGATTTTTCTTTTTCTATTAAATTTTAGTAAATCTCAATTTTATTAAGAAATTGGCTCTAACAGAGGTAAATAACCCATATGAAACATGGATGTGGTCTGTATTGGTTGACATAGGGATAAAGTAAACATCTATTAAGGGTTCAATTTCTATGGTTGCTATAATTACAAATTTTAAAAAAAACAAAGCAAGGGTCCAACAAACCTACAAGCATAGCTGCTCTAATAACATGATCCTCTAATAATTAGAGGGTTGGTGGTTTGAGCCCTGGCTGGTTCAGTACTGTGTGCCAAACCATCCTTGGGCAAGATACTGAATCCGAAGTTGCTCCCTGTGAAGGAATGTGTATTAATGTTAGATCAATCGGGCATAAAAGTGCTTTGGCAAATATGGCTTGTTTTTAAAAAGTGCTTTGTGTGCTCAGAGTAGGAAATTGTTGTTTGAGAACAATGCCATCCACCACACAAGGGTTAACAGTGTGTACTCACTAAAGTAATTCCGTTTCTCTATCTTGTCTTGCTGTGGCATTCTGGATAAATCATGTATTTTCATAGAGATTTTAGAAGAACCTAAATACAATAGTCAAGCCTAGAAGTGACAAATGAGTTGATTGATTGAGACAGGATGACCCTCAGGCTTCAGAATTTTGTTTTGACCTTTGAACCTCTTGATCCTTGTGTTCAGTTCCAGCTACTGCAGTGGTGGACACGTGCCCAGACTGTCCCACGGCCGAAAATCTGAATGAGCCCATTGTCAAAGAGACGGCCAATCTCTGCCTGCAGAGGTTCAATGAGGAGAGCCGCCTGGCCAACTACTTTACTCTGGAGAACATAACGAAAGCCAGTTCACAGGTTAAGACAGAAAAAGAAATGAAAAAGAAAAAGAAACCAAACGCAGGCAGAGAGTCAGTAAAGAAACAGGTTGAATACAAATTAAGCTTATGTGTGATTTCTTCTAAGCAAGTACTTTTAGTTTTCTATTCTTTTCAAAAGACTAGACCTAATGTAAAGCTCTTAGCAATTTTATCTGACTAGTTTTGGTCATAGTTCGCTTATTTTGACCTACCTCTGTCCTAAACTAGGCTTTCATAAATATATTTTTCAGTGGGTTGTTGGTCCGTCCTACTTTGTGGAATTCACTATAGTGGAGACAGTTTGTTCAAGGGAAACAGATGTCAGTGAACTGAGCCGCTGCACACCTATGGACTGTCAGTTTGCTGTAAGTAATGAGAAAATAATGCTCTGTTTACTCACCATATGTTCATAAAACTGGACTGCTACCAGGCTGAAGCTGAAAAACTGCCAATAATCTGCTGTTGAATGTGAAACTCCTCTAACAGTGATGAAAGAATACGCATAGATATCTTAAAGACCAGTAATGCACCTTACACTCAATTTATAATTATAATATTTGTCTTAAGCCTCGGTGGTTAATTTATCATGTTTAAACCTATGTTCATGTGCCTGGTCTCATCTTTGGTGTGCTCTGTGTACTGCATCCAATCTCCACTGGCTCCAAACAAAAATCCCCCAAGCTGTAAATGCAGGCTCAGCTCTCCTTGTTTTCTCTCTTCTCAGCACAGAGGCTTCTGTTCGGGCTCACATGTGGCTCGTGAGGATCAGTTTGAAATCAGAAACCCTGGTGGCAAAAGGGATGGCTTGATTCAAGATAAGAAACCTGTAGAGGTGAAATGTGAGATCTATGAACCTCAGGTACTTGTTTGAACAACACAAGACTTAAATTATAAAAAAAAGTTCACAAATCTTCACAGTCTATCACTGCACTTCTGATATTTTGATTGTTAAAGGGTTTTTAAAACACAGTTCAAAAATGTTGACAAATGCTTCATTGCTGAGCACCACCGCTCTCTTGACTATCTTCCGTTTTCAGGCTTCCTCTGTGGAGGCGCAGGCTCACGCAAAAGCAGGCAGTGTGCACACTGAACACCAGCAGCATAACCACACTCACCTGCATCCCCATGAGCACCTCCACTCAGACTCACCCAGCCCAGACATTACACTCTCCGTGTCTCAGAACCTTGGGAATGTGGTGAATCAGCCTGCCTCTCCCAGAGCTTCACCAGCAGGCAGCTCCTGCCCCGGACCCCGCAGACACAATCTGGGTTTACGGAATCTCAGGCTCTGATTGGTTGAACCTTCAGTACTCAGTCCAGAGATTGTTTTTAACCATATTGCAATTAGTTCAAGACAAAAAATGGTAACTAAAACCTTGCAATTAATACAGAAAAAAAATCTGTATTTACTGTTCATTGATCATTTAAATAAAATATTTATCACAGCTGGAAGTTGTATAATTTATTTCTATCAGTTTAGCAAATCGGTACTTTACCTAATCAAATAATGACCCCACTGTAGCAACTTCTTGGACACATTTTATTTTTTAAAAGTAACTCTTCTCATTTTAAGCTACATATTACTTTTGGGGGGTTGTTTTATTTATTTATTTATTTATTTATTTTATTATTTTGCAGGGGGGTATGCATGACCTCATTATTTGTTGATTTGGCCAGTTTAGCCTATTTGTAGGCTAAACAGCATAAGTTAACAAACTTATCAAGAGGCTATCACGTTTTTGATTGGCTCTCATCATATCTAAATGATAGATGTTTTTTTGTTTCCATTACCAGTTTTAGATCTGCACACTTAAGCTTTTGAATACATGTTGGAGAGCCCAAAGCACACAAAATATCTAGCTCTGAAATGAATTAGAAATACACCAACCCTCAGCACTTCCCAGACAGATCAGCAGTATTTAAGGCCATTCCATTGGGGGGAGAGGAGGGAGGGTGCGCATGACGTCTGCAGGATCAGATATTCCAGATAAAACCTACACTCTCAAGCCCAACTTGCCGTGGTCGTATAGTGGTTAGTACTCTGCGTTGTGGCCGCAGCAACCCCGGTTCGAATCCGGGCCACGGCATAACTGCTTTCTCCAGACATTAAGCTCCCAAGCTGGAAAGGCAGAATCAGCTCTGCTTGTTTTCTCTCTTCTCACAGAGGCTTCACACGTGGCTCATGAGAATAAGTTTGAAATCAGAAACCCTGGCGGCAAAAGGGGCATTTCGTTTCAAGATAAGAAACCTGTAGAGGTGAAATGTGATATCTATTGGTGCTGAACAGAGACAAGACAGAAAGATTTGCTGTTGGTCCAAAAACGCAGAGACAAATCTTTTGTTTCCATATTTATCATCCCTTTCTCTGAAACACAGTAAGCAAGTCAGGAATGTTGGTATCATTTTGGACATCGAGCTCAGATTTGATAATCATATTAGTACGGTTACCAGAACTGCTTTATATCACTTAAAATATATTTAAGGTTGGAAAATTCTTGTTTCAAACTGACTCAGAGAAATTGGTCCATTCTTCTGTATCAAGCAAGTTAGATTCTTGTAATGCTCTATTTGTCTCATTACGCGAATCATGGTGACGTCTATGGGATCAAATATTCCAGGCTAAAGTTGCCGTACTGAGGACAGCCCGCCGTGATCGTATAGTGGTTAGTACTCTGCGTTGTGGCCGCAGCAACCCCGGTTCGAATCCGGGTCACGGCAGCTTTTTGCCAAAGTGCTTTTGTAAGAGTATGAAATCCATTACTGGTCGTATAGATATTACCAATAATTATATCTCTATACGTAGGTTTTTGTAACTTTTTTCTCTCTTTTTTGTATAGCGAGTATATACCAGTAGGGATGACACGAACACAGTAAATAGATAGAGAGGCTGCAATAAGTGTGTACATATTTCCGCCTACTCCATTTCGTACTTGGTGATTGAGTTGTTACTTCATGTGAGATTTTGTTTGAGCACATACGTGTGTATGTCTATGCATATATATGTGTGTGTACACGTAGTATGTGCGCATATGTGTATGTCTATATATGGCTTTGTTTTACGAAAAAGTAAAACGTAATGTAATCATCGTCATCATCAGCTGTTTATCTATGAATATAACACTTTCTTCGGTGTGTGTGTGTATGTACCATTACACACACACACACACACACACACACACACACACACACACACACACACACACACACAATCAGTTTACAAATGTATTGTAACTAATACAACCTTAAAAAAGTTTTCTTCTCTGCTGTCATATCAGACAGCAAATTCTTTCTTTTTAGACAGTTTTAGGCTCTTGGCTGACTCGTGATGCCCACAACAGGAGAGCACTGCAGTCATCTGTGGTGAAAGTTTCGTGTGCCGTTAAGGCGGAAGCACACAGTGTGCACTGTGACAGAATGTAGGCCGGTTCAGGAGAAGAATAAAGCTGGCAGACTGCCATCTCCTGTAGAAATACAAATTGATATACTCATTTATAAAAGAGGCTTCTGGCTGCCAAGTGTCAACGTAAGTCTTTTTTACTGTTAAACAACATGTGGTTATTTTTATCTGTCAAATGCTTTGCTACCAAATCTGTGTTGACAGTTGTGTTAAAACAGACATCAACAGCCTACATAAATTGTGTTTTCTAACACATTAAAAAGATGTATGAGATGCAAAAATCACACTGGAAATAACAAGCGATACTATTCAAAACTACTGGTTTCTTCTTAATAGAAGACAAGGAAACTGAGCTAATTCTCCTCTTATTTCTGTTAACCAATCCAGTGTTACACACTTTACGATGTGTCCACATGGTGTCAGCCTTATCTCTCTTTTCACTTCAACGAGTTCACACTGGGAGTTTGTCCAGTAATCCTAAAAGATAACTTCAGAGTTTTCTCTTTTTTCCCTTTTTGCTACTGGAAGAACTGCTGCACCTTTGTGCTTCCAAACTGGCTGCAGGGGCTGAAATCTAACTAAACTGCCATAAAATTGCATTTGAATATTTATAGTGCTCAGAAAACTACCTGACTTTTTCTCCTAGTAGCACCATGGGAAACTTGAAGTCTCACCCATGTTTTTACAATATATCACGGATTAGCATTAAGTATTGTAAATGTTTATTCATGCCATCTCCAGGATGAATTACAGGACTTTTCACAATTGCTCAGTTATACCTAAGATTCAAGAAGTTTATTGTCACACTGCAAAACACAAGTGGTTACGCAGAGCAATGAAATTCTTACTTTGCAGGTTCCCTTCACACAACTAAATAACAATTAACTAAAATAAAGAATAAACCTAACCCTGAGCATGGAAAATAGCATAGAAAATAATAAATGAAGTAAAAACAAGTGCTTTGTAGCTTATGTAGCTTATGTGTGGGTGTAGTCAGAATTTAAAGTGAAAGTAGTTGCAACGCTTTCACAGTGGTTATATATAGAGAGCATGCAATATTAAAATTTTTATATTGTAAAATGTATACTGTATACCTAAAGTATATTCTCAAGAGGTCAAAATATCTGCATCTTCATTTGCAAGTATGATGCTGACATTTTAATGTTAGTAAATGCTAGCATCAAGCTGAGCATTTACTTCAAAGCAAATGTGCCAAAGTAGCCACAGTCTCACCAAAAACCAAACTAACTGTTGGTCATAGACTGTATATAAAAATGGCTACCCGTTGCTTTCTGGCCATAGCAATTTGAAACCTCAATAGTAGAATTTTGGACGCCATCAGGGTTTTTCTTTTTTGGAAATAAGCAGTTGTATCCAGTCTGTGTCTGTAGCCTTTACGCCCCCTTCTTGGTGTGATTGGACCTTTTTGCAGTATTCTTGATTCTATTTCTCTTTTAATGGATTTCTGTCATAAAAAAATATGGCTTGCTGTTTTTTACAGCATGGTCAAAAAGAAAATCTCTGCATCAGTTTAGGTGAATAAAATTCCAATAATTATTTAGCATTTATTTATTACTTAATAGTGAACAAATATGTGTAATGTATCTTGCTACCCAAGCTTGCTAGTGTTACCTTGTAACTTAACTAACTTAACCTAAATCTCCTTCTGGCTTAAAACAAATAAATATAGCCAAAGAAAACTCAAACAAATGGTAGAATGGTACATTGAAGCTTCTAAATGTGTATTTTAAAACTATCAGGTGAATCATCGTCTATATCCATCGTTTATATACAGTCTACATCACTGAAACACTTTTGGAGCCAGCTTCGAGTGGCTACTTCAGAAATCACTCTGTATTTGGCTGTTCCCCATTTGGCCTCATTCTTCAGCCTTGGATGTTGGTGCTTGCTATAGACACATCAGTTTGGGTTGATCCTAAAAGTGATGAATGATACAGCTTTTAAATTCCTCTGTAAACCACAATATATGAGCTACATGACAGTGTTGCAGATATTTGGCATGAGTGTCAAAAACACCATTAAAACAAACGCTGCAATAAAATCAATGGTGGTTGTTATGAGAATCAAAATTACAAACTGGAGTGACTGTAAGACTAATTTATCTCTTCAAACATATCTTTCAGTTGATCCTCTTTTTTTACCATCTATGTGACTTCACTCACTTTTACAAACAAGCACAGCAAAGACTTACATTTAATTGCATGTCCAAGCCTGCTACATAATTAACACTGGGTTGTATAAGCCTTTTATGTGCTTGGATGCTGTAACAGAGGCAGATTATATCTGTACTAATCTACCCCCAAGTGTGAAGTGAAGACAGCTTTTAATACTGCATGTTGCCACACAGCTTCAGGCACAATTGTAAATGTCATTAGCTGTCCCGCTGCTTCCCTTCTTGTCTGTCTTCTTTGTTGTGTGGCCCACATTCTTTAAAGATCTCCATTATTAATTTAGCTTAAAAGGCCCTCAAGATGTGTAAGGCTGTGCATGCATGCATGTGTGTGTGTTGTGTGGGGACTGTCTTTTAAACCTACCGTGTCTGTGTTTTTCTTGTTGCTTGTGGCTAAGACAAAAGATATCCCAGGTTCAAAGCTCCTGCTGACCTTAACAATGCATTATGTTGGTACCAAAAGAACAACAGGGCTCTGATTCACACTAAAAACTAAACTGATGAGTTAAGATAAAGCTACTGAAGTGAGCATCTTTTAGAATACCAGCTTAGTGTGGATGAATGTTGTGGTAAATAGTCTCAGACAAGGTCCTTCCTCCTGGGAAAGCAAAATAGATATGATGAAGTGGTATGAGTGGAATTCCTAAATATGTTCATGCCTCAGCCACCTGAAACTAATGGAAAATACCACCTCACCTTTCTTG